CCCGAGGGCGGCCCCTCTCTTTGGGCCTCGCTGACCGCGCAGTGCGAGCAGCCCTCCCGCCTCGCTGCCGCCTGGGTGCCCGCGCCCCTGCCCGCTCGCCCTTTCCCTTCCCCCTCGGGGAAGGCCTGGCCCGCGTCCGCTGCGCCCCGCGGCCTGGGCGGGTCCTCGTCGCAGCGACCTCCCTGCGCTCTCCTCTCTTCCCCTCTCCCTGCAGGGAAAGGCATGGGACCCTAGGCCGGGCGCAGGGAGCTCCGAACGCCCTTCAGGGATGCGGGCTGTGGCCGCGAGGAGCTAGCCAGTCGGGAGGACGTGGCTGGGGCGGACATGGCTGCGTGCTCGGTTCCTGGGCCACTGCGCGGGGGCGGGGGCAGCGGGTGCTGCTCAGAGCCACGGCAGCGTCGCCAGTTCCGTCCCACTGGCGAAATTGTTCAGTGTTCTTTATGCGACTAGAAACGTGCGGGACCTCCAGCCCTCCTCTGAGCAAGTTGTAGGATTCTCACAGGTCTCTCTAGTTAATTGACAGTGTGAGCGAGATCTGTGTGCGGTCGAGTGTGAGCGAGATCAGTGTGCTGTTGAGTGTGAGCGAGATCTGTGTGCTGTCGACAGTGTGAGCGAGATCTGTGTGCGGTCGAATGTGAGCGAGATCTGTGTGCTGTCCAGTGTGAGCGAGATCTGTGTGCTGTCGAGTGTGAGCGAGATCTGTGTTGTCGAGTGTGAGCGAGATCTGTGTTGTTGAGTGTGAGCGAGATCTGTGTGCTGTCGAGTGTGAGCGAGATCTGTGTGTTGACCTCAGGAACGTGATTTTACCTTTTTCTGAAACTTTCTTTTTTAAGAATTATTTTATTTATTTATTTATTTATTCATTTATTTTAACTTGACCAGAGAGAGACAGAGAGAGAGAGAGAAAGTGAGAAAGCAGGCCGCCAGGTCCAAGACTTGGACCCTGGTCAGCCACGTGGGGGTGTCTAGAGCCTCACCCGCCAGGCCACCTGCTGGTCCCCCTTTTCCTGAGACTTTACAGCCTTTGCCAGCAGCCTTTCCATTTCTCTCGTGTCTGTTTGCAGGTACATGGCCGGCAGCCCCCGCACTGGCCTTAGCCCCCCTGCGGCCGCGCCTGCGCCACACGCCCGCCTAGGTAGTTTCACAAGCAGGCCCCCTTCCCTGCCACCGCGCAGTAGGATGACTGAGGTCGCCCTCTGGGCGCTGACTGGCTCCCCTGTGAACACCCCTGTCATTCCTGCCTCCCCATACAGACGGCTCTCCTTCAACCCCTCCCTCAAACCGATCTTAACACCTCATGGGCTCCCGTTCATTTACAAATTTAAAGCTCTGGCGCAAGCCCATTTTATATTTTTTGATAGTCAAGCTGTCATCTTTTCAAAAATTACACTTTTGGGACCAGCAGTTGGCGTAATGGCTATGTGGCTGGACTCCCACGTAGTCGACCGTGGTTCGAGTCCCTGATCCGGGGGCTTAAACTCGCGCCGGGCGCGTGTGCGTGTGTGCCCAAGATCCCGAGAGGAGAATGGAGGAGAAGGGATTGCGGCGTGGCCATCCCCCCGGGGGGTGATTTCTCGCTTTTTGTCTCTCTGTTTCTGTCTTTCTGGCGAGCGCACATGACCTATAGTAAAAATCCCCCCCCCAAAAAAAATTACAATTTTAATTTTTTTAAGTTAATTTACATCTTCCTTCTTTGAGCAAGAGTGACAGAGAGAGATGACTGCCCACAAAGGCTTCATGCCCTGACCCACTCCCAGGTTTAGCCACCCCAGATCATGGCCAGGAGTGCCAGTGTGTCGGGCAGTCTCCAGACGGCTCCGCCCGCCCGCAGTCATGCTCGCTGCTCTGCCCTAGTGCCTGGCGCACTGGCCTTCTGATTTTGCTGAATCAATTGATTGGCTGGTTAAATGAAATGGCTTACCAATTTTCCCATAATTCATTAAACAAGCTATAGACTATATTTCTTCCTTTTTTATATTATTGGAATCATATTACTTCACTTTAATCTGCCTCTTAAATGTAATGCGCTTCGGGATCTTTCCGTGTCAGGTGGCTTGTTAATATCCATGCGCATACTGCAGCCCACTGTCGTGGGCCATGGGGTACTCGAACCCTCCTCCTTTTTTTTTTTGCTATAGGGCACATGCGCTCGCCAGATGGACAGAGAGAGACAGAGAAACAGAAAGAGAGAAATCACCCCCCAGGGGCGATGGCCACGCCGCAGTCCCTTCTCCTCCATTCTCCTCTCGGGATCTTGGGCACGCATGCACACGCGCCCAGCGTGAGTTTAAGCCACCAGGTCCGGGACGCGAACCGTGGTTGACTATGTGGGAATCCAGCGACATAGCCATTACGCCAACTGCTGGTCCCCCTCCAGCCCTCTTCTGACATGGGATGGGCCTTCTTTTCACTGTTGTGTGATGTGTCAGCAGCCTTGTTCACGAACCTTTGAAAGCATCTCTGATTATTTCGAGGAAGTAACCCTAGAAGGAAAGTTTCTAGGTTAAAGCTTCTGAGCTTACTTGCAGCTTTTGAGGCCAGGTACTATCGAACTACACTCCAGAAAAACTGTAGTGATTATTTTTCTTCTCTTTGCCACAGAACAATAGAATACAAAAATTTCCCTCCTATCCTGGCAGGGTTTGAAGAGTGTTTTTCTTGTTCTTGAGGAAAGAACTGATTTTTCTGTTGCTAATGATCTGGTCTCAAGATTCACTATCGGGAACCAGCAGTTAGCGTAATGACTCTATGTTGCTGGACTCCCATGTAGTTGACTGCGGTTCGCGTCCTGGACCCGGTGGCTTAAAACTCACGCTGGGTGCGTGTGCGTGCATGCCCAAGATCCCAAGAGGAGAATGGAGAAGGGATTGCGGCGTGACCATCCCCCCTGGAGGGTGATTTCTCGCTTTCTGTCTCTCTGTCTCTCTCTGTCTGTCTGGCGAGCGCACGCGCCCTATAGCAAAAAAACCTCTCCAAAAAAAAGAGCAAAGATTCACTATGAAAGAGAAGTATTTGAGGACAGAAGCAGCAGGAAATGCTTCTGGGAACAAGAGGGGGAGGATTTCCGAGTCCAAGTCCGAGTCCCAGTGGCGCAAGGACCAGAGACCCTAGCTGAGTGCCGCCCAGCACTCAGGAGCTCCAGGGAGCCAGGGCTGCACGCGGGCCCGGCATTCAGGCACCAGGCCCGGAGTGCCCAGCAGGCCTCCCTGCACAGGCTGGTGCCATGCCTCTCCCGTGCTGCAGGGAGAGGGTTGGTAAAAAGCTACTTCTTAAGCTACTTCCACCTCTTACTGCCCACTGCTCCAGTCCCTCCACTACGCCCCCCAAAATCTAGCAATTAGAGGGAATGCCTTTTGAGACAGAGCCTGCGGGGTGTCCAGCAAACCTGCTCTGATGGTTTTCTATAAAGAACTGGTTGTTAAATATTCAAGTCAGGGGACCAAGAGATGGTATAATGGTTACATCTCTGGACTCCCATGAAGTTGACTGTGGTTCGGGTCCCAGACACGGTGGTTTAAAACACACCACCATGTGTGCATGCATGCCCAAGATCCCTGAGAAGAGCCACCCCTGCCGGGGGATGATTTCTCACTTTCTGTCTCTCTGTCTTTCCGGCAAACACACACACCCTATATCAAAAATCTCTCTCTCAAAAAAAATATTCCAGTCAGGG